CACCTGTAGTCCCAGCTACTCGGGAGGCTGAGGCAGGAGAATGGCCTGAACACAGGAGGTGGAGCTTGCCATGAGCCAAGATCGCGCCACTGCATTCCAGCCTGGGCGACAGAGCAAGACTCCGTATCCAAAAAAAAAAAAAAAAAAAAAGACGACTTCTAACGGATGCAATTCTCCTTCTGTAACTGGTCAGCCTTTTCCGGAGACCCAGCCAGCCAGTGGGGGCAACAGGGAAAGGCCTGTCGTGGCTGCTGAGAACAGAGGGGACGGGGTCCCTCCTCTCCAACACCGTGCCTGACTCCTTCAGCAGATTTGAGCTTTCTTCACTGACAAAGCCACACGCCAGCTTTCTGAGGGTCCAGAGAGAGCTGACAAGACCCATGTGCTCTACCGGGGCCCGGTTCTTCTTAGATCCGTGATTGGGTCTTTTCACCCTCAGCAGAACCCTTTGGCTGTGCCTAGAGAAGTCTACTTAAACCTCTCTTCAGATTCTTGTTTTTTTGAGATGGGGTCTTGCTATGTGGCCCAGGCTGGCCTCAAACTCCCGGGCTCAGGCCATCCTCCCTATTCAGCCTCCCAAGTAGCTGAGATTACAGGCGTATGACACTGGGCCTGGCTTCCCTCTTCAGATTCTTGAATCCACTCGCAGACTGACCCCTCACTTTACCGTTCACACACAGGGTTTGGGCCACAATGAAGAAAGGCAGCCATCACTGCACCAATCAGGGAGCCCTTTGGGGTAACAGGCTGGGGAGGACCTTAGTTCTACTTATTGCACATAACACCTTCCCCGCAAGCTGACCACAGAGCTCCCACACTGGTCTCCCAGCACTGGGAACAACACTGCTGGAAGGAGAAAGCAGCCTATGGCTCAGAAACCCGTCTCTATCAAAAACACACACATTCTAGTACCTCCCAGCTACTAGGGAGGCTGAGGTGGGAGGATCACTTGAGCCTGGGAGGTCAAGGCTGCAGTGAGCCATGATCCTGCCTCTGCATTCCAGTCTGGGCAACAGAGTGAGACAGTGTGTCAAAAAAAGAAGAAGAATTAATTCTTGTTCCCACCAGACCTGCCAATCCTCAAGACTGCTAGATCTGCCATGGTGGCTGACGGGGAAAAGGGCCACCAACCTGAATGTCACCATGTAGCCGGGTTTGGTGGCTGCTATGGTCTGACGGGGTAAGGACCAGGTCAGGTGGGCTGCCTGCCCCTCTGCCAGCAGGCACCAGAGCAACCATGTCACCGCCCTCCATCAGTCACTCAGAGAGGATGGCATTCAAAACTACAGCTGGGTGCAGTGGCTCATGCCTATAATCTGAGCACTTTGGGAGGCTGAGGTGGGAAGACTGCTTGAGCACAGGAGTTTGAGTCCAGCCTAGACAAGAGCGAGACCCTGTCTCAAAAAATAAAAAACACTTGGTGGCTGGGAAAATTAAAGACAAAGGTTAAAAAACGAAATACTACTCTTCCACACCATGCTAGCACAACTCCCATTCAGACTGGAGCACGGCGAGAGCAAGCCCGTCTCCCTCTCACCACCCACCAGTCTTGGTAAACTGAAGGTTTTGTATCCAGTTCTATCTCTCGCCTGGCCTGGGAGCTCCTAGAGAGCAATGGCAACATTTGAGATTTATCACTATGCTTCTCTTGCATCCCACGAAACACAGATATTCAACAGAAAGTTAATCTCTGATCAAATGAACAGAATAAATCTGAGGGCAAACGCGTATCGATTAGACCAGTGCCTGACACCAGGTGGGCACTGACTAATTGGTTGCCAAATAATACAATGGGCTTTGTGCAGCTATAGCCATTTTCCACTTCTAAGAAAATCCTACAGACAAAAGTCCAACCATTCAAAACTGGTAATACTGAAGGCTGTTACCGACAACATAATTTTGTGCTTTACCAAAAGCCTTGTAACATGATTCCTTTAAATGTCAGGGTCCCCCAAATAATCTAATTTACAAGAATTCCACCTACACGCAAATTCTAGGAAAAAGCCAGGGGAGGCACATATTGGCAGGGAAATAGCGAGCCTGACTTTGACATTTGTCCTAACAGCTGATTCATTAATAAATGGGATTCCTAGGGTCCTGGCTACATTCTGTCCAGATTGGAGTGGGGCAGGAGGAGGTCCCTAAGAGTCCGAGGGAACAGCAAGGTCGGTCGGCCAACAGCAGGAGGTCCTGCTACACTCTGCTCCAGAGGACAGATGCCATGTGGCTGCAGGGCCTGGGAGGAGGCCAGGAGCACCCTGGCTTTGTGTGAACTCTAGGCTAGCTCAGAGAGGAAGAGAAACCCCTCACGCCTGGTAAATGCCTGCTCAGCCAGTAAATGTGATCCTACATCCTTCACGGTCACCTAGCTGCTGCCTCCTCCTCCCCGCCAAGGTGTTCAGACCCACGCAGCTGCCCCAGTTACTGCGTCTCTTCTCCCATGACCCATGGAAGAAAACGGTGCTGAAACTGTCACCGGCAGACTTTTGCAGTCATCTCATCCTACTCATGTTAAGTCTCTACGGAAAAGCCTGCCTAAAAGTGACCTCCACCCTCTAGCAGCCTACAGGACAGAACCCATCCTCCCTGGATCTTTGTGGACAGCAGCAGGCCACATGCAAATGGCAGAGTGCTCTAAGAAAAGGAAAGAAGGGAGAAAGGGAGGGAAGAAGACAAAACAGGGGATACATTTAAAAACTAACAAAGACTCTGATGGAGTCGGATGAACCAGATCTGAATCTTGGCTCTGCTCACCAGCTGTGTAAGCTCAGATAAGACATCAAACCTCACCATTCCTCAGTTCATCTATAAAATGGAGCAGTAATACCGACTTTACAGAAAGCCTGTGATTAAAAGTGCACACACGAAAAGCTTAAAGTGCTTTGCACAGTGCCAGGCACATATTCTCTCTTGAGCTTAGAAATTCTCCGTCAAACGAGATTCTTGTCAACTCTGCGCACTATGAGGATCAAATGGGAAAACTGCCTTAGAATGCCATAGAAGCTGTACTGTTGGACACACCTAGGGGACTGTTACTGGTATGCTGGGCGGCCAATCCAGCAGACTCAAACAGCTCTGCAAATCAGCCAGAGTGAGGAGTGAGCTTCCTCTGTCTGTAAGCACAGAACCCCCACCGAGATTTTTTAGATGCTATCTTTGTGATCCCAGGGCTTCCGGCCTCCACCAAAACACTCCATGCGTTACTTCCAACCCCCACGCAGTCCTCAGTTTACAGAGAGAAAAACCAGCACACTAAAGGAAACGATGTGTCTTTAAACACACAAACAGGAAGCCGAGAACAGAATTAAGGAGGGATTCCAGGCTCCTTATCCCAGCCCTGGTTCCTCCCAGAGGCTCATCCCATCTCACTGGGCAATCATTCTACACACCACAACCACCGGTTACACTGTCCCTCCCCGCTGTCAGGGCCTCTGACACCAGCTGTGGCAATCACTTAACAATAGAGAGGAGAAACCGAAGTCCAGAGAGAGAGATCACACAGTTGGTGGGCAGCAAAGCCTGGGCTTTTCGATATGGCAGCCTCCCTGCAGACAGGCTGACCTTGGCCGCAAGGGTTCTGGGGGTGTCTTTTTTGAGCTGCACCTGTGTCGGGCTGGCGCTGGGGCGGGACCCAAGGTTAAATACGACGGCAACTTCTGTGCAACGGGCACTTCACTGTGCCAGGCTCTGAACTGGGCATTTTACCGATTCCTCCCATCCATCCTCCGAGTGGGCGCTCTCCATATCCCTGTTTCTCGGAGGGGAAACAGGCTCAGAGAAAGGGATTTGCTGCGGTCTGGGGACCCGGGTGGGGGAGTGCCCTGCCTGGGCTTTGAGTGCCTTGACTTTCCTCCTGTACCCCAACCCATGGACTGACTGCTCCGTAGTCCCTGCCCAGGTCCGGCCCGTGGACCGCTTGGGAACGCGCACGTGGGGCCCGTGCCGGCCCTCGCGCACGCGCCGGGTCACGTGACGAGCCGGGGCCCACAGGGCGCCGAAGCAGTTAGGGGTCGCGGCCTCCCCTCTCCCGGCGGCTGCCTACCCTTCGCACCGCCTCGCGCTACTCACTCCGCGCGGGGGCTCCCGGGACCGAGAGAAGAAGATGGGGAAGAGGAAGGGAGGGCGGCAGCGGCGGAGACCCCACAAGGTAACCGCAGCTCCGCCACACCACGACCAGACGCGACAGCTCGCGGCGCGCGCTGCCTTTGTCCGCTAACGTCACTTCCGGGCGCTTAGGGGCGGGGCCACGGCTGGCCCCACCTCCTCGTTCAGCTCGCCCCCCTCCCGCGGGCTCCGGATTTAGCCTGACTTCTTTTGAAAAATAATTTAACTTAATTTTTTTTTTTTTTAATTGAGACAGAATCTTGCTCTGTCAACCAGGCTGGAGTGCAGTGGCGCGATCTTGGCTCACTGCAACCTCCGCCTCCCAGGTTCCAGCGATTCTCCTGCCTCTGCCTCCAGAGTAGCTGGGACTACAGGTGTGAGCTACCACACCCAGCTAATTTTTGTATTTTTAGTAGAGACGGGTTTTCACCATGTTGGCCAGGCTGGTTGCGAACTCCTGACTTCAAGTCATCCTCCCGCCTCTGCCTTCCGAAGTATTGGGATTATAGGCGTAAGCCACTGCGCCCAGCCTAATTTGACTGACTGCCTTCCTTCCTTCCTTCCTTCCTCCCTTCCTCCCTCCCTCCCTCCTTTCCTCCTCCTTCCTTCCTTCCTTCCCTTCCCTTCCCTTCCCTTCCCTTCCTTCCTTCCCTCCCTCCCTCCCTCCCTCCTTCCCTCCTTCCTTCCTTCCTTCCTTCCTTCCCTCCCTCCCTCCCTCCCTCCTTCCTTCCCTCCCTCCCTCCCTCCTTCCTTCCTTCCTTCCTTCCTTCCTTCCTTCCTTCCGAGACGGAGGCTCGCTCTGTTGCCCAGGCTGGAGTGCAGTGGCCTATCTCAGCTCACTGCAAACTCAGTCTCCCGGGTTCCCACCATTCTCCTCCCTCAGCCTCCCAAGTAGCTGGGACTACAGGCGCCCGCCACCACGCCCAGCTAATTTTTTTTGTATTTTTAAAGTAGAGATGGGGTTTCACCGTGTTAGTCAGGATGGTCTCGATCTTCTGACCTCGTCATCCGCCCGCCCCGGCCTCCCAGAATGCTAGGATTACAGGCGTGAGCCACCGCGCCCGGCCTAATTTGACTTCTTTAAAAAAAAAAATTAGAGTCGGGGTCTCACCCTGTTGCCCAGGCTGATCTTGAATCCTGGCCTCAAGCAAGGCTTCCACTTTGGCCTCCCAGACTGCTGGGATTACAAGCGTGAGCCACCGCGCCCAACACAGGTTACGGCTCAAAACTTGACTAAATTGACTTTTGGGAATCTGGAAGGACCTCCCGAACTGAAAAGAGCCGCGGCGTTGCCCTCTCTTCATCCCCATCACGAACAACAGTTCGTTTGGAGGCTGCAGGCTGGGCTTTGAGTAAGAAGGGGAAAAAAGCCATTGGTCCTCAAATCCACCCATCTCCATTAGCATCTTAAAATAATACCGACCCCCCAAAAATAAATAAAATAAAAAATACTCTTGGCAGTGCCATGGGATTCCCACCCAAATAAGCAGAACAAGCCCATGAAATTTCCATTCCAAAAGCATGGCCCTTCCCTCGGCTCCTCCCATGCAAAGAAATTCTGGAGCTATCTCCGAGGCAGCAGTGATGGAAACACGAGCTTGCAGGTGGGTAGAGCCTGTTAACATCTCCGAGCTTCAGTCTCCTGCCAGAAGAAGTGGAGCAATGTAATCATTACTCAACTTCTGATGCTCTGAGAGGATTAAACTTGTGGGACACTGCACACCAGACCTTCAGCTCAGCACCTGCAGTGGGTTCTCAGGAAATGGAAGCTATTATAATGACAATATTCACCCTAAGGTCATTTTTCCTAAACTATTAATAACATCCTGGTTTTGGCAGGGTGCAGTGGTGCACAACTGTAACCCCAGCATTCTGGGATGCCAAGGCGGGCAGATCACCTGAGGTCAGGAGTTTGAAACCAGCCTGGCCAACATGGCAAAACCCCGTCTCTACTAAAAATACAAAATTAGCCAGACGTGGTGGTGCATGCCTGCAGTCCCAGCTACTCGGGAGGCTGAAGCAGGAGAATCGCCTGAACCTGGGAGGTGGAGGTTGCAATGAGCCTAGATCACACCATTGCTTTCCAGCCTGGGTGACAAGAGCAAAACTCCATCTCAAAAATAAATAAAATAATAATATTCTGGTGTTAGGTTTCCAATGCCTTCCTCTGAGCAGTGCACACAGAAGGTGCTTAAAGTGTGTTTGCTCTAAATGTACTGAAAGCTACGGGAGAAAGGGGATGCCAAAAAGCCACATCTGCATTGAGTCCGCAGAACGTGTGTATGTGCATATTATTTGGCATCCCTTCTAGACTATTCTAGGTCCTAACTGCTACCCCTGGTCTGAGCAAGCTTCATTTTCTGTGTCTCTACGCAAAGGAATTGATCCTGGGCAATTTCAATTGCTGGGGGTGTCTGGAATCCTCCACCAGGGGGCAGCTCTGGTCCAAACTCTGCATGCCTAAAAATCCAGCCCTATCTTATTTCCTGTCAACAGAAGAGCAAGCCCCTTCCCCACACCCAGACTCCAAGGCCTTCCCAGGGCTGGCCAGCTCCCTGACCTCAAAGCCTCTGGCATCTCTGAATTCCCAAGCCTAGCACATAGTAGTTGCTTGATAAATGATTGCAGAGTGCAAGGTCTGGAGGGCTCTTTAGAAACATCTAGTTAGGCCGGGTGTGGTGGCTCATGCCTGTAATCCCAGCACTTTGGGAGACCGAGGCGGGTGGATCACGAGGTCAGGAGATTGAGACAGGAGATTGAGACCATCCTGACTAACACGGTGAAACCCCATCTCTACTAAAAATACAAAAAAATTAGCTGGGTGTGGTGGCGGGCACCTGTAATCCCAGCTACTCGGGAGGCTGAGGCAGGAGAATGGCGTGAACCTGGGAGGCAGAGCTTGCAGTGAGCCAAGATCACGCCACTGCACTCCAGCCTGGCTGACGGAGCGAGACTCCGTCTCAAAAAAAAACAAAAACAAAAAACCATCTAGTTAATCTGGTGTTTCTCAGCCATTAAAAAAAGTCACATACCCTTTAAATAAACACAAAAATATCTCCCTCCCCCACTCAATATTGTAGCTCTCCAAGAAAGTATGTCCCTCCATCCCTGGTGAGAAGCATTGACAGAAAATAGAATACATCTTTGGCGATGTGTCCTCTAGTGAGTCACTCTGTTATTTGAATTACAAAGTCGTTTCTTCATTTTCAAATTATGAAACTATGCCATGCCAGTGAAATACTCATGTAAATGACCTTTGTCTCCCACCCCAGCTTCACAATACTCTATGAGCTTCCTCTCGGCCCTCTCCCAGCCAAGACTCAGAGATAAGGCCCAGGGAGTCCTGAGAAAAAAGACACTTCTCCAGTATCACACAGCAAAACAGCAGACCATGGACTTGAAAGTGGGTATGTTAATTTCTTTCTTCTCTTCTCTTCTCTTCTCTTCTCTTCTCTTCTCTTTTCCTTTCTGGAGATGGAGTCTCACTCTGTAGGCTGGAGTGCAGTGGCGCGATCTCAGCTCACTGCAACCTCTGCCTTCCGGGTTCAAGCAATTCTCCTGCCTCAGCCCCCCAAGTAGCTGGGACTACAGGCACACGCTGCCACACCTGGCTAATTTTTTTGTATTTTAGTAGAGACGGGGTTTCACCATGTGGCCCAGGCTGGTTATGAACTCCCAAGCTCAGGCAATCCGCCTGCCTTGGCCTCCCAAAGTGCTAGGATTACAGGCATTAGCCAGTGCAACCTGGCCTCTTTTTTTTTTTTTTTTTTTTGAGACAGAGTCTCAAATGATCCGTGTAATGGATTAGAGTTGGAGATGTCAGCATGAGCTCATGTTTAGCTTAATATAAGTACAGATGGTTACCTATAGAAATATTTATAGATCTGTGTGTGTAATAGTAAACACGCACATTTCTTTGTCTGCCAGCTGAGACTGCCTGAAACAAATGACATCTCAATAGCAAGAAGCACACCTAGCACCCAGGCCTTGAATCATTATTATTATTACTGTTTTTGAGATGGAGTCTCTGTCACCCAGGCTGGAGTACAGTGGCATGATCTCAGCTCACTGCAATCTCCGCCTCCCAGGGTCAAGCGATTCTCCTGTCTCAGCCTCCCAAGTAGCTGGGATTATAGGTGCACACCACCACGCCCGGCAAATTTTTGTATTTTTAGTAGAGACGAGGTTTCATCATGTTGGCCGGGCTGGTCTTGAACTCCTGACCTCAGGTGATCTGCCCGCCTCGGCCTCCCAAAGTGCTGGGATTACAGGCATGAGCCACCGTGCCTGTAATTTCTAGGTCCATTGTATTCTGACTGCCTGCTCTTGGGGTGGAAGTTCTACTTCCAGAGCCACCCAGCCTGCGCCTCCCAGATCTGGAAGGCCTGGCTGCCCTGGTCAGAGTCCCAGTGCCCTGGGTGGTTACGGCCAGGGCATCTAGGACACAATAGCCTCACCCTCAGTCCCCAGGCCTTGGTGCCTACTGCTCTTCAGGTGCCCAGGGGTGAGGCGCGGATCACAATGACCCTGAAACAGCCCAGAGGCAGCAGGGAGGGGCTGGGAGAGGCACCAGGCAGGGATGATGGGCTCTCCCAAGGGCTAGCCTGCCTGTAGAGAGCTCTAAACTCACAGGACCTTCTCAGGCCCTGCCCAGAAGCCCACCAGGGTGAGTGTGACACTGCCCAGGAGCCAGCTCAGAGCTGACAACAATCTGGGAGTGGGGTATGGTGGGGAGGAAGCAGGCTCAGAGACCCCTCAGTGTCAGAGCTGGGAGTAGGACTGGGGCTCTGCCTCCCAAAGCGGAGTTTGTTAGAAGTCTGTGTCTTGGCCAGAAGTGGGGGCTCATGCCTGTGATCCCAGCACTTTGGGAGGCCAAGGCAGGTGGATCACTTGAGCCCAGCAGTTCAAGACCAGCCCGCGCAACATAAATACAAAAAATTTCCACCCCATTTCTACAAAAAATACAAAAATTAGCCGACTGTGGTGGCGTGTGCCTGTAGTCCCAGCTACTCAGGAGGCTGAGGCGGGAGGATCGCTTGAGCCCAAGAATTTGAGGCTGCAGTGAGCTATGATGGTGCTACTGCACTCCAGCATGGGCGACAGCAGGACTCCATCTCTTAGCAAGACCCCATCTCTTTAACAACAACAACAAAAAAGTGTCTTGGTTCCAGCAGAGACTTACTGAATCAGAATGGGGGCTGGGGGTAAGTCATCTGTACTTTCAACAGGCTCCCCACCCAGGGGTCTCTGAGGCATCACCAGGGCTGGGAGGCTGCTGGTCAGGTCTTTCTTCCCTCAAGCTGGTTCCAGGTTTCCTAATTCCCAGTAGAGCACTAATGACGGTAACAGCTTCCACGATCTGAACACTGCAAGGCAGGCTAAGTGCTCTCTCTACCAGTGGTGATGCCATTTCACGGCTGCAAAGAGGCAGGTGCTGCTATTATCCCCATTCTGCAGACCAGAGCCCCCAGGGAAGGCAGAGGGAAAGTTAATTGGCTTGGCCAAGGTTACAAAGCTAGTAAGTGGTGGAGCTGGGACTAAATCTTAAATAGTAAGAACTTTTAAATACTAAGAACGGCAGCTAGTCTATGTGTAAGCTTGGCCAGCGTGCCTGGCACTGTTCCGAGCTCGCTGTTCTAAGACTGGCATGTACGTGCTCATTTAAACGTCACAGCAACCCCAAAGCTGGCCACTCTTGCTGTCACCATTTTTCAGGTGAGGAAACAGAGGCTCTGGGAGCTCTCGCCTGAAGCCATTCGCTGTCCGCTGGGCCGGTGGCGCTCACCCTGCACCGCGCTGCCCTGCCCGGGGCACTATGGCCTGGGGCTGGACTATGCCCTCCCCACCTCACCCGGCGCCCCCCACCCACGCGCGCTGAGGGTGCGGTGAGCTGAGCGCGGGGCCAAGCATGTTCCGGCGTCGACCTCGCCCAGGGGCCCAGGAGGTGGCGCCCAAGGGGCTCCCTGGCGACGGCGACTTCCAACGCAGCAGCGACCCGCGGCTGCCCAAGCTGACCCCGCCTGCGCTCCGAGCGGCCCTGGGCGCGCGGGGCTCCGGGGGCTCGAGGATCCCGGGAGGCGGCGCTGCGTGGTGGCCGGAAGGGGACGCCGAGCCCGGGGTGGGCTTCGGACGCCTCCCGCCGCCGCGCCTGCCCGCCCTGCTCACTGCGAGCCGGCGGGCGGTGCGGAAGCGGGGGCTGCTGCGGTCCCTGCTGCTACCTCCCCTGCTCTCGGCCGGCGCGTCCCAGGAATCGGCGCCCAGGAAGCCCGGGCCTGGAGAGCGTGAGCGCCCCCGGAGGGGCGTGGCCAGGGAAGACCCCGACTTCTTGGGCGCCTTCCTAGGAGAGCTCCTCCCCAGCAGGTTCCGTGAGTTCCTGCACCACCTCCAGCAGAAGTGCGCCGAGGAGCCCGAGCCACTGAGTGAGGCCCCGGGGGGCGGGCCCGAGTCATTCCTGGTGGGGGGGTGGTCTCTTGTGTCCCCGCACCCAACACCCTCACCACACCGGCTCAGAAGGATGCTAATGTTAGCTGAGTATCTCAGAGCCCTCGTAACCCCTCCTTGAAGGCTGGCCTGCCATCACCCCGAGGCCATATGACTAGGAAGGACCGTCCCCCAGCCAAGGCTCACAAGTGTTTCCTCCTGGCTCCAGCATCCCCAGCACCACAACATCAAAGTGGTGTGTTAGAGCACTGCCCAGGGTCTCCGCAGTGTCCCAACTGTTCATTCCTTCCAGACCTATGGTAAGCGTCAGTTCCCTTCTTGGTGGGGACGGGGTTGCCATCGATGTTTCCAGAGAGGGACAGCCTGGTCACTCATGCCTGATGTGGCCTGTTTGTCTTTAAGGGGCCAGTCATCGCACCTCCAGGATAGTCTTACGAAGATTTCGCTCCATCAGACACCTACTCTGGGGTCCCTGAAGGGTCATCACTCACAATTCACCACTGTCAAAAAGGCCAACCAGTGAGTGATGGGAGGGATAGGGTAGGGTAGTGGAGGAAAGGGGCATTTCTTTCCTCCTTTCTTTCCTCTTTTGCCCATGAATGTATTCATCCATCCTTACATACATCTGTCCATGAATCAGATCTTCTATCAACCCATTCAAGATTCATTCGCCAGTTCATGTATGAATCAACCCATCCATTAATGAGGTCTTCTACCAACACATAATTCATCCATGAATCCATTCATATATTCATTTTCCCATTCACCCATCCATCCTTGCATCCATCTTATCCATGAACCAGATCTTCTACCACCTGTTCATGAATCTCTCCATCTATCCATCTTATCTTTCTATCCACCCATTCATCTATCATGAACCCATGACTCCATCCATACATATTTTCACTCACCCACCCACCCATGAATCAGGTGTCTTGTGGATCCATTCATCTACCTGGCCAACCAGCTAGCCAGTCATCCGTCTAAAACTCCCACACTTCTATCCATCCATCCATTGATCAATCATCCATCCATTGATCATCCATCCATTGATCAACCATCTACAAATCCTTCCATCCACTTGTAAACCTAGGACACTGTCCATTGCTAATCTAGTCATAAAGCCATCCACAAACCTACATACCCATCTACATAAAAAGCCAGCCACCCATCTGTCCATCTACCCATACATTCATACTTCAGTTCTATTCAGGCCCTTTCATTAACTCACCCCACAGTCCATCCACCCATCAACCCACCCACCCAGTCTTCCATCTTTTTACCCATCCCACCATCATTTGTCCATTTCTTACTCTAACTTTTATTAGGTTTTACTGTATGTTGAATATTGGGAGAAAAATAAGGGATGGAGGTAAGAGAAGAGCCTAGGCATTGGAACCTACCTGGGCCTAGATACCACAGTTTTAACAGAGGGGGAAAAGAAGACAGAAACAGTTCCTCCAGGTTAAAATTCCCCCAGGCCTAAGCAGGAGTGAAGGGTGAATGACACTGCCCATGAGTTTAAAGACCAGGGAGAGTAAATATATCACATACATATCATTCCTCCTCATCTGATACCCATGGCAGACAAAACTAATGGATCATATTTCCCCACTGAGCCTCAGAACCCTTCCTTGCACAATACTCCAGGTAGACACGACTGATGGATCAGAGTAGGAACTAGAAATGGATCACATGGCCAAGCATAGTGGCTCATGCCTATAATCCCAGTGCTTTGGGAGGCTGAGGCAGGAGGATCGCTTGAGCCCAGGAGTTTGAGATCAGCCTGAGTAACATGGTGAAACCCTGTCTCTACAAAACTTACAAACGTAAGCTGGGCGTGGTGGTGCATACCTGTGGTTCCAGCTACTCGGGAGGCTGAGGTAGAAGGATTGCTTGAGTCTGGGAGGTTGAGGCTGCAGTGAGCCAAGATTGTGCCACTGCACTCCAGCCTGGGTGACAGAGCAAGGCCCTGTCTCAAAAAAAAAAAAAAAAAGTGAAACACATTTATCAACCTCAGAACTTTCAACCAATCAGGCCAAATATACACATGACTTCTCACAAGATATAATAAATAAAAGTTTGGAATTCATTCTCTCAAATGTGAGCAAAAGCAGAGACAGACACAGTTACAGACTTTCATATTCAAGAGCAAATACTTGAGCACCTTACTGTGTGTGAGATTCCCTGGTGGGCCCTGCAGGGGACACTGGGGTGCCTCAGAACAGGCTCCAGTGGCCCTCAAGGGGAGATGCTGAGATTTCAGGCAGGCAGGCAGAGCTGGGTTATGCCTTTGCCTGGCCCTGCAGCCAGCAGAGAGCAGGGGTTCCTGAGCACACAACTGTTGGATGACTAGGTCCCAAGGCATGTAACCAGGCACTGTCCTGACACCTCCTGACTGCTTGGCTCTTTGGGGGTTGATGAAAAACATTCCCTCCACATCTACACAGACATACAGATGTGGTCTGATGAACGGATGCAGACATATAAATACGTGCATTCCAACAGCCAGCCATGACCTTCCTCAATAACAGAGCTATAGGTGGGTCAAGCAGGCCTTCCTGCAGCCTTGCCCTTGAGGCTTTTTTTTTTTTTTGAGACGGAGTCTTACTCTGTCGCTAGGCTGGAGTGCAATGGCGCAATCTGGGCTCACTGCAACCTCTGCCTCCTGGGTTCAAGTGATTCTCAGCCTCTCGAGTAGCTGGAACTACAGGCGCACGCCACCGTGCCCAGCTAATTTTTTTGTATTTTTGGTAGAGACGGGGTTTCACCATGTTGGCCAGGATGGTCTCGATCTCTTGACCTTGTGATCTGCCTGCCTTGGCCTCCCAAAGTGCTGGGATTACAGGCGTGAGCCACCTCACCCAGTTGAGGCTGAAATTAACAACAATAAATGGAACAATATTATCTATGAAATATACATATAACAGATACCCTTGATTAAGGCCAAACCCTGTGCCAGCCATGTCCTAGATGTCTCATGTAAGTCATCTGATACTCATCAAACCCAGGAGGATGGTATTATTGTGCCTATAATTTAAAGGGAAAAAAACTGCAAAAAAAAAATGTGGCTGGGATGGGGCATGATTGAGATAGACAGTTACAGTAACAGCTCAGCGGGTGGGGGGCGGTGGCTCACACCTGTAATCCCAGCACTTAGGAAGGCCTAGGAGGGTGGATCACTTGAGATCAGGCGTCTGAGACCATCCTGGCCAATAAGGTGAAACCCTGTTTCTACTAAAAATACAAAAATTAGCCGGGTGTGGTGGCGCACTCCTGTAGTCTCAGCCACTCGGGAGGCTGAGGCAGGAGAATATCGTGAACCCGGGAGGCGGAGCTTGCAGTGAGCTGAGACCGTGCCACTGCACTCCAGCCTGGGCAATAGCGCGAGACTGTCTCAAAAAAAAAAGAAAACAAACAAAAAAACCCAGCTCCCAGTTAGTGATGTTTCCTCTGGGCCCCACAGACCCTGGGCTGGATGCTTCTACGGCCCATTTCCTTTCTTCACAACACGGTAAAGTGGGCACAATATTCCCATTTTACAGATAAGAAAACTGAGGCTCAAAAGGGTCAGGACTGAAACCCAGGACTGCATGACTCCTGGGCTGGCATTCTTATCCTCTCTGCTAAATTGCTTTACGTGCGAGGGTGCCAGCTCTGGAACCAGGGTGCAGGTCTTGGCTCCACGCCTTACAGCTGCATGACTTTGGAATAGTCTCTGTGCCTCTGTTTCAACTATAAAATGAGAATGATAACAGCATTTCGTGGGGGCCATGTGCATTTGGTGGGATGGTGTACCTCCATGCTTGAGCCTGCCTGGCAGGTAGGAAGTGCTCCATTAAGGCTGGCTTCTGTGATAGGCGTTATCCATTCTTACAGACCAGTGTAGGGCACTTGTCCAGAATCTCACAGCGAGTCTGGGGTTGGTGGGTGTGTGCTGGGGTACGGCGGGGGGCTGTGAGCACAGGCTCCTTTCCCCTCTCTCAGCAGGCCCCACGGTGCACAGGTCCCCAAGCTCAAGGCTGCACTGACCCACAACCCCTCGGGGGAAGGCTCTAAGCCCCGCAAGCGGCGTTGCCCTTTCCGGGTGCGATTCGCTGACGAGACCCTGCAGGACACAACGCTCCGCTACTGGGAGCGCAGATGCTCAGGTAAGCAGACGGGATGGGGAGCCTCGAGACTCCAGAAAGTTCCAGCCAGGAGGGCAGAGAGGCTGTAGCTCTGGGCCCCTGGAGTGAGGAACTGGCTTGCAAAGGCCAAGAGATCAGTGACCCTGCAGAGGATGTGCCTGAACCGGCCACCCTGGAGGATGTCAGGGTGACCTTCGAGGACCAAGTAGAGGGTCCGAAGTCCAGTGGAGGTATTCCAACGTGGGCGGCACCTTGGACTGCTTGCTGCCAAGGGGTCCTCATACGCTGTATCTGCCCACCTTGAAATCCGTAGCCAGAGCCTCTGGAGCCTACACTTGCTCCCCTCCGCAGCCCCCATGGCCTACAGGGGCTGGAGGAGGTCCAGATGCCATTGGAAGCATCTTCCTTCGACATCCATGAAGGCAGCCCTCGAAGGCTGCCTAAGGAGGTACCCGGAAGAGCCGGAAGAGGAGACTTTCTCTCTCCTGGAGACAGCTGGCACTGCCTGGTCCAGCAAGGAAGCTAAGAGCCACCAGGCCCTGGATGTAATGGTGTCTGTTTTGCAGTTCCCAGTGAGCTTTCTGAAGTGTGTTTCGAGAAGCAGGCGAGAAGTCCCTGTTCTTACTCTGGTATAACCTTGACCAGGCTCCACCTTTTCCCGTGTACCCAGCCTCTTGTCTTCTCAGGATCCAGCAGCCCCCAGGGCCCCCAACAGTCAACTTCCTCTAGTTATTTATTGAGCACCTACTATGTGCAGTTTCAGGAAATGTCTGCCTCAAGGTCTAGCTGTGGGCGATGCCCTACAAACCTAGGACCTTCGCTGATTTGGGAGGATCTGACGCAGTCGCCTTAGCATCACAGGAAGCTGGAGTTAGAAGCTGTGATTTTTGCCCAACTTCTGTGTGTTTGGTGGGGAAACCAAGGCCCCAGAAGCAGAATGGGCTTGTGTGGGTGACACAGAGCCACAAATAGAAGCCAGAGTGCCCCCGGGCCCCTCTTGGGAATATAAGGCCAGGACAAGCCCAGGAGAAACAATTTCATGTGAATGGCAGCTGGTGCATACGGGAGATGATTCTGTGTCAGCCACTGGCCATAAGGAGCTATCATGGTGTCCAGGGCAGCAGGGTGCCCAGGATATGTGGGGGCCAGCCTGCTGCTTCCCAGCCCTTTCCATCCTGCAGCAGCCATTGGGGAATTCAGGGTCCTTGGACCATCTCACATGGCTGCTGTTGGACGGGAAGAGCCCCCAGCCCTGAGACAGCCCTCCCTGAAGCCCTCAGCACTCTCAGCATGGTTTCTGGGATTTCTATGATGGGGTAAGCAGTCTCCCCGCTGCGAGAAAGGGGGCACGCTTTTGGCTGCAGCACGAGTGGGGATGCGCAGGGGCACAGCTTGGGTATAACAGCAACAGTCACGCAAGGTGGTTTTAAAACCCAAGCCTTCTCCGGAGGCAGCCAGAAGGCACTGGGGAGCCTGGGGTTGCCATGGAGACAGGGCTCTGACCGGCCTTGCCTGCCAGAGGGAGGAAAAGAGGGTGGGGGCACCAGTGCCCTCCTCCTGGGCAGGGATCTCACCCTGCCCTCTCTCCTACAGTCCAACAGAGCGTCATTGTGAACCAGAAGGCTGCCCTGCCAGTGGCGTCGGAGCGGGTGTTTGGGAGTGTCGGAAAACGGCTGGAGAGTTTGCCCAAAGCCCTGTACCCTGAGGCCAAGGAGGAGACCCTGGCCAGCTCCTGGTGCTGGGACTGTGCTGGCCTGTGTGGCTCTGGGGAAGGGGATGGGACTCGCCGACATTGCCAGGGCTCCCCACCCCGCTTGCTTACAGACCTCCCCACCCGGCAACAGGCGGGTTGTCAGTGTGGGTCCTCAAGGGCCCTGCCAGCCATGGGTGGGCCGGGGACTCAGAGTCCAGGAAGCTCATGGGGTCCTGTCTCCCCCAGGTCCACCCAGAAGACACAGGGCTATCTTTCTGAGGACACCACCATGAACAGCAGCGTGCCCTTCTGTTCAGGGAAGAAGGGCGCTGCTCAGAGACCGCGAAGCGGCCTCCGAGCCTTCTTGGACCCGTACGGCAACCTGGAGCAGGTGGGCAAATGGTGAGCCCCTGCTGGCAGCTGGCCCCGGGAGCAGCCCTGTTTGGTGGGGTGGCTGGGGCTGGGAGTGGATCCTCCCTGCGAGCCAAGTCACCGTGGGGGCTTGCAGTGGCCACGCTGTGTTCCTGCATCTCCCTCAAAGTGCAGCAGTCAAGGGGCGGCTGTAAGCCAGGTGCCTGGGTTCCGATCACAGTTCCTTTCTGCATCTCCCCTCCCTTCCCCTCCCCTCCCCTCCCCTCTCCTTTTTTGAGACAGAGTGTTGCTCTGTGGCCCAGGCTGGAGTGCAGTGGCACAATCTTGGCTCACTGCAACCTCCACAATGGGGACACCCACCACCACTCCCAGCTAATTTTTGTATTTTTAGTAGAGACGGGGTTTCACTATGCTGCCCAGGCTGGTCTGGAACTCCCGACCTCAGGTGATCCGCCCGCCTTGGCCTCCCAAAGCACTGGGATGACAGGCGTGAGCCACCGTGCTCAACCTTGCATCTGTTTCCTCATCTTTTAAAATGGGGCTGGCAGCACTACCTGCCCGACAGGGCTTCAGCGTAGAATCCTGCTGGGAGCCCAGTCCCCTGCCCTGAGGTCCCAGTAGCAGCCAGCTGGTCCTCTGTCTCACTGCAGTCGGTCCTGAAGCAAGGCCGCCCTAAGGGGTACCATCTCCTCCTGGCCTCCACAACACTGCAGCCAGATCAGAGGTGAACACCCGCGAGCCCAAGGCCAGGGACACACATGGGCCAGGCAATGAGGAGCGTCCTTCCTTGCCCACAAATAAAGGCACATCCCAGGTGGCTGGGACCTGCCAGTAGGTCTCACACAAGCCTTTCTGGGTACCTGATTGCTGGTCTCTGGGGGTTCCTGGAAGGAAGGGGATGGAGACACAGCCAGGATGAGGCTGAGGGGTGGGGACAGGGTATCCCTGGGGTTCAGGACTTGTACCAAGTGAACCCCTCTTCTGGAAGGTGGGAGACCCTGCCACACACCTCAAACCTGGGAACATGCTGGGCACGATGGTCCACGCCTGTAATCCCAGCACTTTGGAAGGCCAAGGTAGGAGGATGGCTTCAGCCCAGGAGTTTGAGACCAGCCTGAGCAACATAGACCCTGCCTCTTAAAAAAACAAAACAAAACAAAAAACCTGGGTGTGGTGGTCCACGCCTCTAGCCTCAGGTACTTGGGAGGCTGAGGCGGGCAGATCACTTGAGCCCAGGAGGTTGAGGCTGCAGTGAGCTGTGATCGCGCCACTGCACTCCAGCCTGCGCGAGAGAGTGAGACCTTGTCTCAAAAATCAAACAACAACAACAACAAAACCCAAAAACCTTGGGACCAAGCCTTTGTCGACCTAGATCAGCCCACACCTGAAGCAGGCACCTGCTGGAAACTCAGCCTAGGGGTGGAGAACCCCCGCCCCAAGCTTCTGTCCTCCCCCTCCAAGCCTCCATCTTGACATCCACTGTGGAGTGAGGGCGTCCAGACTCCAGCCCAGGGAAAAGAGCCCTGTGTTAGTTTCCCGGAGGGGTTGGTACCCTCTGGTCCTGGAACGCAAAGCACCTGGGTGGGACGGTCTGGGGCCCGCCGTTTCTCTCCTAGTCTGGGGATGAGGGAGTGGATGTTCAAATCCATATCAGGAGGTGGCGAAAGACAAGGTGGCAGGCACTGACCCAGCACCCCCAGGCCACCGCCAAGCCCCTGCCCACCAGGTTTGCCCCTGCCGGTGGCCCCCAGCCCCGCGCCATTACCCAGGATCCGGGTCTTTCTCGCCACCTCCTGGTCGCTGAGGAAACAGCAGGGAATCCACACCCTGGCGCCTTAAGGGCAAAGGAATGGGCTGCAAACGGTGGGACTGGGCTGGGCGGTGGCTGGTGGGGGTCCTTAGGGCCCGGATGGGTTGTGTATGGGGGAGGCCTTTTGGGAGAGGCGCCCTGGCTCCAGAAGGGCAACAGAGCTAGACAGTTTAGACAAACTCTGCGGGGATAGGAAGAAGACAGCGCTGCCACCGCCCCTCCACCGGGTACCTGACTGCTGGACTCGGGGGGTTCCTGGAAGGAAGGGGGTGGAGACACAGCCAGGACGAGGAGTGGCATTCTGTCCCTGGGACGTCCCATCCCCTCTGTCTCCCTTTCTGGACTTTCACGCCCCGTCCCCTGACCCAGACTCTTTATTTCCTGGAGAGCCGGGGGGTCTCAGCAGGCCTGATTCTACCGCCCCTCCTCCAGGTGGCCTTGCGCAACCCACCTCGCCCTCTCTGAGCCTCAGTTTCCCCCAAGGGTCGCGGCAGGCCCCGGCCCCTGCTCCGGCTGCAGCGCCCCAACGAGCCCACGCGGGGGCAGTGTTGGCCTGGCTTTGGCTACGCCTGGCGCGGCCGAAACTTCTCAGCCTCTCGCTCCAGGGTCGGAAACTTTTCCCCTCGCGCGGCGCTGGCGCTCGCGCCCGCCGGCCTCCGCCTCCGCGCTGCTGGCCCCGCACAGCCCAGCTCTGGCCGCGCGACCTCCTGGCAGCTGCTACGAGCCCGCGGCCGGCCCTGGCGGGTGGGAGGAAACGCTCCGCCCCCGCCCCCCAACTTCCCTCTCTCTGGCTTTTGTTGTTCAGCCCAAAATTGCTAGGCTTGCAGCCGTGCAGCAGCGCCGAGCACTGAAGCCGGAGTCCGCGTGGAGAGCCCTGGGCGGGTCTCGGCGCCCCCGCGGGCCCCCGCGACCCCGGACTCCACGCCCTTGCCCGCGCCGGGGGGCACCACGCTGGGGGGGGGGCTGTCGCTGGGCGGGGCTTTCAGGGAGACCTGCCCCCCCCCCCGCTTACGCTTACCCTTCCCCTTCCCCCCTTTCTCCTCCCCCACCCTCCTCCTCCCTTTCCCCTCCACCTCTCCCCTGTGGCTCGGCACGCAAGGCCCCGGGATCCCGCAGCGCTCCTGTCCTCTCCCTGCGCTGCCCACTCCCTCCCCGCAGACCACAGACGGAGGATGGGAGCCTCAGTCCCGCCGCTTTTGGCACTTACACCCACCACCGAGATAAGCAACCCGAGACACACACAGGCACACCACAGGGCCACACCCACATGGTACACAGACACAACACCCCACAGACACCCCCTTCAGACACACACACCACACAGGTACACGGACTCCTGCCCCACAAACAGACCGTGCACACAGGCCGACCTCACACATACACGGCGTCTCTCGGGGTCTCCCAGGGCCGCAGCCCCCACATTCGGGGTCACCTGCTGCCCTGGAGGCCCAGACGCCTCCCCCTGGCCCTCTGTAGCCCCTTGTCTGTACACCAGCATGTCCCCTACCATGAACTTAGGGTGACCAAGGACGGGATGAGGAAGAGAGGGAGCGAGGCATTCAGGGGATGGACCCATTCCCAGCTGTTCCCCGGGGACCCTCGGGGGCCCATCTCTCACCCTCTTTGGCAGTGACCCCAGACTGGTGGCCTCCCCAGGGGCCCCAACAGGGCCCTTTTCCGTGGGGCATTTCCACTCAGGGCTGGTGGGAGTGGGGGGGTTGTGGTGTGGAGGGCTGCCCCTCCTGGGCTTCAGGAAGCAGCATGTCGGGGAGGCCAGGAAAGCTCTGCTCCCCGCAACTCAGACCCATCTGAGCAGCTGGGATCAAGGCAGGCGCAAGCCCCAACCCCACCCCTGCCATTGGCCATGGGCAGTCCTGTGCCCAGCCAGGACAGGGGAGAATGGGAGCTGGGTCTATTTGGGTGGAGGGGGAGGAATGAGTCTGACCCAAAGCAGAGGGCAGAGCTGGGAGAGGCAGGAGGTCACTGTCCCTTTCTAGGTGTCCCCACCTCCCCACGCCTCTGCACCCCTGCAAGGTGGCTCCTTAGCCCTGTTTGCAAATAAGGACACTGAAACCCTGAGGGCTCAGGGGGTCTCACCTGGGTGTGCTGGTGGTGCCGACTGGAGCTGGAACTGGTCCTACAGATGTCCTGCGCCAGCAAGGCCTTCGGCCGCATGCACAGGAGCTCTCTCCTAAGCCGCTTTCTACAACCTTTGGCTGTTGGGGAAGCCAGGGCCCAGAGAGGCTCAACTCTTTCTCAAGATCACACAGTGACCAGGTGTTGGAGTGGGGATTCGCACTCAGCACCTCTTCACGGGGAAGCCCTGTCTCCCGCTGAACGTGGTCCTCTGGGGGCTGCTGCTTCCTCCCGCACACGGGGCCCCTCGGAGGAGGTAGGATCAGGGCAAGGTCAAGGAAGGAGAGGCGTTTATTTAGAGAGGGTGGAACTGGGCAGGTGCACAGGGTCTGGAAGGAGCTGGAAGCCTCAAGGCTGGTGGGCAGGACCCATGACTGAAGTGGAGAAGAGGGCGCTGGCTCCAGGCAGGAGCCTGGTGGGAGGGAGAGGAGGGAGCCAGGAATGAGCCATTCTGCAGGTGGCTCATTCAGCTCTGTTATGGACTGAACGTGTCCCCCCAAAATTCATATGCTGGAACCCCAGGTCTAATGTGATGGTATGAGGAGGTGGGGCCATTGACAGGTGATCAGGTCATGAAGGTGGAGCCCTCACACGTGGGATTCCTGCCCTTATAAGAGAGGCCAGAGGTCGAGTGCTGTGACTCACGCCTGTAATCCCAGCACTTTGGGAGGCCGAGGCGGGTGGATCACCTGAGGTCAGGGGTTCGAGACCAGCCTGGCCAACATGGTGAAAACCCATCTCTACTAAAAATGAAAAAATTAGCCTCACATGGTGGTGGACACCTGTGATCCTAGCTACTGGGGAGGCTGAAGCAGGGGAATCACTTGAGCCCAAGATGCGGAGGCTGCAGTGAGCCGAGATCATGCCACTGCACGCCAGCCTGGGCAACAGAGCAAGATTTCGTCTCAAAAAAAAAAAAGATAAAGAAAAGAAAAAGAGGCCCCAGAAAGGCCTTGCCCCTTCCTCCTTGTGTGGATACAGCAAGAGGCCAGCAGTGTGCAACCTGGAGGAGGGCTGTCACTGGAACCCGACCATGCCGGCACCCTGATCTCGGACTGCCAGCCTGCAGCCTGGGAGGAATACATTCTGTTGCTTCGAAGCCGCCACCCAGGCTTTGGTCATCTGTTAAGCAGCCCAAAGAGACTCAGCCAAGTACCACACCCATGCTGGGCCCTGAGTGGGTACCTGCCCGGGCAGCCCCGCCCCCGGGAGCCTAGAGTCATGGGGAACGTCGCTCAGACTGGGCATTTCCAGGACACAGTGACAAGTGCTGGGATGAGAGGCCTTGGGAGCAGAGAGCAGAGACTCAATCCTCTGTGCAGGGGATGGGGTGGACACCTGGGCTTTCTGACAGCAACCAGGTGGGGGCATGGTCAGAACTGACCAGAGGAACGCATGGAAAGGCAGGTGACTGCTACTGCCTTTCCGGTCCCACAGGAAGGCTGGTGATGCAATTCTCGTGGACTGGGGAGGAAACCGACATGGGAGAGCTGTTGAGCAGGCAGAGGGAAGGGCTGGTGTTCCCCTAGCCAAGATACACATATACACATACACACACACACACACACACACACCCTGCTTCACAGCCGTGTGGGGCTGCCTAGCGCTCATTCCGGCTGTTCTGCCTTTATCGGGGCCATTTTTTCGACCCCACCCCACCACTTGCCCGCCCTCTCCCATCATTTCTGCCTCTCTGGGTCGTTCTGTCTTCCCTCCCAAATACACCGTAAGCGACAGATGGTCTGCACCTTCCTGTTGGAGGCAGTGAAACCCTTCCATGGAGACATGTGACACCACCTCCGGGCAGCCCCACAAGCCTCAACATTCCCCTATGAACAGCACCAAGAAGGGGGATGCTCACTGCTGTTTCAACCCATCGGAGCCAGCTTTGGATGCTGGATGGTGGCTGGGCCAGAAG